ACGGATGCACAATTGGCTCCAAGGGCTTCAAGGGCATCCTCTACCTAAGGTAAAACGACTGCCTCTTCATCCTCTTCCAGCTTTCGACGACGGATCGGAACCAGTTCGAATGCAAGCCGCACAAAGAGAACCTGGTCAAGTACGGCATCGGCCCGACCGCCGCTGCTGCCATGATAGCAGCCGCCATGGAAAAGGATTCCACCCCGCCCGAACCGAGATCTGATTTGCAGCCAGAGTTTGTTCAGCGCCTCCACTGCAGCCATGATGAGATGGAAATGATCATGGACGCCTGCTCGGACGGCGGGTTGTTCTATTCCTCCTCGTCTTCGGGGTCTCCTCCTGTTCGTCTCAGGCCAGCAGTGCCAGCTCTTCCCTGCCCGACAAACCTTTCAGTTTCTCTGATTATTTCTCTATCACAACGTGGAATGTGCATACCTTCCTTGGTTCCGTGTCGTCGCCGATTCAGCCGATCGCCAACGCGATGTCGAAATTTCGCAAACTCACTCCGAAATGCGCCGTCATCGTTCTTCAAGACACGCGTGGTTCTCAAGAGGACCTGGAGCATTTGAAAAGGGAGATCGAGGGTCTACACGCTTACGGCGCCTTCATTTCCTGTGGCATCAAAGGTGGGAATGCTATCCCTACCAATCCTCGTTTTGCCTCTGGCCTCTGCGATATTCAGCATCGCGTACTTCGGCGGGGTCGAGTGCGCGAGCTTGTGCTGCGGGGGCAGCATGGCGCTGCGCAGATCATTAATGCGCATCTCGATCCCAGTCTGCCCGTCTCCGCTCGCCAACGCATACTTCGATTCATCAAGTCTCGTTCTCTGTCTCCCACGCATGGTATCTCTTTCCTCCTGGGCGACTTCAATGTCTGTGCTCTCGGCGAAGGGCGCGCCCAGATCGGCGGCGACGCCGCCTTTCACACTCATGGTCTCGCCATATATCTCGCTCGTCTTTTCCTTGGCCACGCCGAAGTTTCGCAGACAGCCTGCGCGCGCAGACGTACCCATATTCACGACAACCGGCGTTCTATAGTATCTATTGCACGCTTGGATAGAATATGCACCAACGTGTTTAGCGCGTCGCTGGTGGATCTGCAGGCCAACTCGCTTGCGCTTGCTGCAGCTTGTGATCTGGAGTGGCCATCATATCACGTTCCAGTCTGTCTCGCGCTCTCTCCCTTCCAGGCTTCGGGACCTCCCCGAATTGTTTCCTGGGTGAGCAGACATATATCATGTCCTCGGGCCGTGGAACAAGTTCTTGGGCAAGTTCCCCCTCTTTTTCCCGATCCCGCTCTCGCTGTGTTTGAGATTGAAGGTGTTATCCGAGCCGCAGCTCAGGTCGTCAGAGCCGACCTCGAGTTGCGAGAGGCCGAATCCTTGCCCGAGAAACTTTCATGGACTCTTGCTGCGCATCGGGCGATGCAGTTCGGTCCACCTGCACGAATAAGGAGAGCCCTCCGTGCCCACCCCTACCTGGCACGCTTCATTGACCGCTCCGACCCCTGCTGGACTGACGCGGCAGGTTTTCGTACATGGCTCGACCGTCTTGCCGCGGATCACATCCAGAGCATGATGGACGAAGTCGGCGCAGACCCGCACGTGCACCCTAACAAGAAGTCTTCCTCTAAGCAGCGTCTTAGCGAATATATGTCTGCCTGGTCTGGGGGCCATCGCCGCGCGGCGTTGGCTGGGGTCGCCGACCCCTCGGGAGAACGCATTTCGGATCTAAAGTTCGCTGCTGACCATCTCGCTGCCCATTGGGGAGGGGGATCATAGCTTGGAAGAAGGCTCTCCAGGGGCCCGTGAACAGCTCGGACAACATGTTGCCCCCGATCCTGGACACTTTCTGGGACATCTGTTTTGCAGAATTTTGCGAGCGCGCCGCCGAGGTTCGCGACTCCGGAGTCGGCCCCGATGGTACCCCGTATTCTGGCTGGGCAGAATCACGCCACATTGGTCTCCGTCTACTTCGCGGCCTTTACCTTTTCCCTATTGCGCGGCGTTGAACTGTCGAGCGACTTCAACTTTTGTCAGGCCATCTTCCCGGCCAAGGGTCGACGACAATGATGAGATCAGCGGCGTGCGTCGGATGCCTGCGGTTACTCGACCGATCGGCCTCTCCAACAGCGACAGTAAGTCGATATCCAGAACCTTCAATTACTCGTTCTCCCAGCTCTGTTGTGAAACTGCCATCAGTGAACAAAGGGGTTTCGTTAGGAATAGAAATATGAACGACAACCTCCTGAACCTTGAATCCTGGGCGCTCCAATGGCATTGCCAAATGGGTGTCTTATCTACTGGGTTCGCCTTCTTCGATGTCCGTGCCGCCTTCCCCAGCATCCCCCTCTCCATGCTCTGGTGGGTCTTGGGAGCCGTGAGCGCACCGTCGTTTATCACCTCCGCCGTTCGGAAGTTATATCATCGCGTCTTGGTTGGCACCAATTTCTGTGGGATTCGTAAACCTGGTTTCTGGGCCCTTAGAGGCATCGAACAAGGCTGCCCTTTTTGTCGGGGTCGCTCTTGTGTCTCGGGTTCGACCCATTCTTGAGATATGTGCAGTTCATTTTGCCGCCGCAGTTAGGAGAGCCGGGTGCGTTCGCAGACGACGCTGGGGCGGCCAGCTCCGACATTTTTGCCGCCCTCGTTCTCGTCCTGCCCGCGCGGGAGCTGGCCGCCAGTGCTGCGGGATTGCGCATGGGCGCCGCCAAAACCATCATTGTCTTGGTTCACCCGATGACGAATGACGAGTTTTCTTTTCGTCTTCGGCAGTATGGCATCCCGCAGGGCGGGTTAATCTTTTAGCATGCCGCCAAGTATTTAGGCATCGTTGTCGGACCTGGGGGGTCTCAGGAGAGTTGGGTCGCGCACGCCGCCAAATGTCTCGAGCGGAGTCGTGGTATCCAAGGGCTTGGACTGGGCCATCCCAAATCTATCGCTCGATACCATATGTATGCCATCACCGTTCTTTCCCATGTCTCCCAGTTATACTTCCCTTCCGCCTTTGCTGCCGAGGACACGTCCCTTCAAATCCTTTCCAAAGTGTCCCGCAATGCCACCCCCTCCGATCTCATTCGTAACCTGAAGACCCTCGGCTATAAAATTGGAGCAAGAGAATTTTGATGCTGCCGCACGTGCCGCCATGTTCCGTGCTGCCATGACTTCTCGGGCATTCCATCAGGCCGTGGAGCGACTGCCATCATTCGCCGACTCGGACGGGCGCCAGATCACACGCGCAGTGAACCCCTGGTGGCAGAAGAGCATCACCGTATCTTCGTGGAACAACTCTGCGCTCATGAGCCAGATCCCGCGACCCCCCCCAATTTGGATATCCCCGGTTTCAACATAAAGCTGAGCGTGCCCTGCTGTGCAATAGAAAATGGAATCCCCATGAGTTTCTTTTTCGACCGGCTGTCTCATTTCCGCCCGCAGACCACTCGTGCGGATGCAGGCAAGGTCTTTTTGTTCTGGATCCTAGTTGCTGACCTTGCCCCGCCCTTCCTCGCCTCCTCTTGCCTGAAAGCGGTCAGCAACTCGTGGTGTACCGCTGGCAGGTTTAGAGGGCCCACTAAGGAGTGTCCCATAGTGTAGCGAGCCTGGACAAGATAAACTTCTGCATGTAGTCAGTTGTGATTGTGTTACCCGCCTTCTGAGGGCCCATCTCCCGTTCCTTCCCAATGAGGTTGAGACTGGTCTGAATGTTGTGTATATATCCCTGTTTCCCTTTTTCCACCGATCACGTGCTCTCTCTAGCTATATATGTATATATACACACACACCTTGCACAGTGAGTGTCGCTGTGCAAAAGGCACAGAAGGAGGCAGGGCTGCCTTCGCTCGGGCCGCCGCGGTCCGCCTGCGGCAAACCGCCAGGCGCGCCCCCGCCCTTGCTGCTCTCTTGAGGGGACGTGGGGAGCCTGCCAGGTATTGAATTAGGGTCGGGTCGGCCTAAATCTTTGCCTTCCTTAGCCCCGTGCCCTCCTCCTTTTCCCCCTCCTCCTCCTCCTCCTCCTTTTTCCTCCTCCTCCTCCTCCTCCTTCCTCCTCCTCCTCCTCCTCCTCCTCCTCCTCCTCCTCCTTCTCCTCCTCCCCCTCCTCCTCCCCCTCCTCCTCCTCCTCCTCCTCCTCCTCCTCCTCCTCTTCTCTCTCACTCTTTCTCTCTCTCTGGAGTTCGGTTCCGCGCCGTTCCCCGGCAGGCGGGGCCGCCGTGCTCTCTTCCTCGCGCGGCCCCCCCCGCCCACGGGGCAGGGGGCGACCCCCGGCACCCCGAAGCGCGGTCGGGCCGCAGGCCCAGGCGGCGCCCGCGCCCCGAGCCGGAGGGTTCGGGTTGACCCAATACGGGGGCCAGCGACAAGGGGGCGGCGCAATAGATTTGGGGCAGACGCCCATGGAAGATGCGGGAAGAATATGGGGAGTGTGGGGGGGGGAACATGCGGAAACATAAGGGGAATCCTGGGACTTGTGTGTATTTGTTTGCGTGGCCCTGGGCTCCTTTAGAGGAGGACGTCGGCGGGGCCCTGCTGCGGACGGAGCTCGGGTTGACCCACAAAGGGGTCCAGGCGACAAGTGGGTGGTGCAACAGATCTGGCGCAATAGGTTTGTTGGGCGGCAATGCACATGACTAACGACTCGGAGGTCTGCGCGGATTTTTCGGATTGGCGTTGGGGCCCCCTGGCGACGCGCATTGGGCGCCGCCCCCGGCGCGCTCCGCGCGCCAGGGACGGGGGTCCAGCGCGAGCGGACCTCCTAGTTGTCATGGGGTCGGAGGATCGCGACGCATCGCCGATGCATCGCCGATGCGGATCGATGTGGGGCCCGATTTACTTCACGTCGACGTCGCCGATACACCGCTCACGTCGACGATGCATCGCAGGTGCATCTCCGATGCATCGCCGATGTATCGGCGATGCGGTGCGATCCTCCGACCCCTCATTTATTCCGACCCCATCTAGGAGGCCTCTGATTCTCCTCCCCCCTCCCCCCTTCGCTGCGGGGGAGGAGCAGCTGCAGGAGCAGTTCCTGACAAGGAAAGGGTTCGCCCTGAGCTCCGACGCCCCTGGCGAGCTGACGGAGTCCACGGACCTCTTCAAGTCCGCATTGAGCAAGGCGCCTGAGGAGGAGGAGGAGGAGGAGGAGGAGGAGGAGGAGGAGGAGGGGGAGGGGGAGGGGGAGGGGGAGGGGGAGGGGAGGGGGAGGAGGAGGAGGGGGGGGGAAGAGGAGGAAGAGGAGGAAGAGGAGGAAGAAGAGGAGGAAGAAGACGAATAATAATAATAAGACGAATACTGATAATAATAAGAATAATAATACTATTACGAATAATAATAATAATACGAATGATAATAAGAATAATAAGGCACATAAGAAGAATATGAATAATAATAATAATACGAATAATGATAAGAATGATAAGAATACTAAGAATACTAGCAATATAAATACTAATACTAATCAAAATAAGGATACTGATAATACTAAGAAGAGGAGGAGGAGGAGGAGGCGGATGTGGAGGAGGAGGAGGAGGAGGAGGAAGACTAACTTAAGATTAATAATTGTAATCATAATACAGATAATGCTACTACTACTACTACTACTACTACTACTACTACTACTACTACTACTACTACTAATATAAATAATAATACTCATCATATTTATAATATTATTATCAATTTATAAAAAAAAAATCATAATAACAAGTGGCACGTGTGTGCCCAGGCTCATACAATAAGCTGAAGGGGCGTTTGAAGCAGGAGTGACATGCAACAGCGAAGTCGCACTCGAGCGCAAGTGGGGTTGCCACACCTTGTGATGTGTGTACCAGGGCCCCCCAGGAAGCCTCAGGAGGCCCGACTTGGATACCAGAAGAGGCTTCAGGAGGCCCCAGGATTGTGAGTGTTGTGTGTGTGATGTGTGCTTTGTATGGTGCGTGCTTTTTGTGTGTCGTCGGTGTTGTGTGTATGTTATGTTTGTCTAGCGTGTGATGTGTTGGGCGTGATTTGTGTCTCTGTGTGTGCATGTAGTTCTGAAGCCCCAGGAGGCCCCAGGAGGCCCCAGGCGGCCTCAGCAGGCCCAGGAGAACTCCAGGAGGCTCCGAGGCGGGGTCTGGGGTACCAGAAGGTCCAGAAAGCCCCAGGAGGCCCCAGGAGGTTCCAGGAGGCCCCCAGGAGGCTCCGAGGAGGGGTCTGGGGCTCGATTTTGGGAGGATGTCTCAGGCGAAACCGCCATTCTCTGAGAATCGGGGTCAAATTATTGAAATTACCATGTGTTTTTGAAGGTTTTATGTTAACATGTTGAAATTCCCATGTGTTTTTGGACCCTGACGTCACGATCTGCGTGAGGGGTGCCACCGATTTTCAGAATTTCGAGGATGTCCCGAGCGAAACGGCCAGAAAAATCGTGGACGACGTGCGCATTAATCGCCTCTGAGCTCTACTCCCTCGGATAGGTGCGTATGATAATAATAATAATACGAATCATAATCATAATCATAATACTAACAAAATAATAGTAATAATAATAATAGTAATAATTTTAATAACAATAACCATAATAATCATAATAATGATAATAATAATAATATTAATAATACATAATCATACTATAAGAATAATAATAGTAATAAGAATAATAATAATCAGAAGAAGAAGAAGAAGAAAGAAGAAGAAGAAGAGGAGGAGGAGGAGGAGGGGGAGGAGGGGGAGGAGGAGGAGGGGGAGGGCCGTCCGTGGGGCAGGAGCGCAGGACAAGGACGACCTGCGTGGCCAGCGCCGCCGCGAGCAGGCACAGGAATCCGCCGGCGCCAGCTGCAGCACGCAAGGTTCGCCCGCGCCCGGCCGAGGCACGGGGGCGGCAGCGGCCGTGGGGGCCTCATGCTTCTGCGCCGTGGCGACGCACCGCGGGGCACCAAGTCAGGGGGACGAGCAATGCCAGAAACAGGAAGAGCTCGGAGGTCCGCGCGGATTTCTCGGAGCGGCGCTCGGCCCCCCTCCCTAGCTTGCAGAGGAAGGGGGAGCCCACTCGATACTTGTAGGCATAGGCAGACGAACAATGACATAGACATAGAAACTCGGAGATCCGCGCGGATTGCTCGGATCGGCGCTGGACCCCCTCTGGCGGCGCCTCTGGCGCCAGGGAGGGGGGTGCAGCGCCGATCCGAGAAATCCGTGTGGACTTCCGAGTTCTTATGCTTATGTCATGTTTCGTCCTCCTGAGACCGCGGGGCACCGAGTATCAAGTGGGCCCTTTTCGCTCCGCAAGCTGCCATGCTGTAGCGATTCCATCCGCGAGGGCCGCCACCCCGCCCCGGCAGGCTGCGCGGCGTCGCCGGGCACCGTGCTGGGAACATGCGCCAGAGAGCGGCCCAGGCAGCCCAGGGGCCCAGCGCGTACGGCGCAGAAGTGAGCGCCCCTCCCTCGGGAGGAGGCGGCACGCGGCGCGCGAGCGCGAGGTGGTGAGCGAGCCAGGGGGGGCAAGGCTCAAGTCGGGCATGTCCCTTTACAGGAGGAACAGTCAGAAACAGTCAACAGATAGTCTGGGGACGATGTTCCGGTTATTTTTCGACTATGTTGTGGTATCTTCCAAAATCCGCCTGCAGGGGGGGCAAGGGGGGCGGGGAGTTGGGGGGGGCGGGAAGGGTGCCCGCCGGTGCCCGAGATGAGAACGCCCAGCTCTTCGAAGAGTTGGGACGGCTGATGGGCAAAGTCCTGCACCACCCGCGCAACCAGGGCGCCAGCGCAAAGTTCCACGCGGCCCCCCTGCCCCCGATTCGATGTTGATTGGCTGCGCCCGCGGGGTGCAGGATTTGGGCCAGTCGGCAGATCGACAAATCGCGCTACAGCCTGCCAATATCAAGTTGGGGGCGCGGGGGGGCGAAAACAAGAATCGAAAAAAACAAGGTGCAGGATTTTGTCCATCAACTGTTGAATTCTCCACGGAAGCTGGACGCTGGGAGAGGGTCTCAAGATGTCTTGATGGCCGATCGAGGTTGGTGGGCTCCACGGGCTCCCTTCGGTGGACGAGGATACGGAACACGCCATTCCCGAGATGGTGCTGCTTCAGCGCGCAGGAAGTGCATTCGAGTGATGTGTTCAGTGTCCGTTTTCCTTGCCGCTGTCTCGGGTGAGCAGGGTAGCCACGCTGATGCTCTCACGGAGGCGATGCTTCTGACCAGACTGCTGGGTCAGAATTCACATCTGCATGGTTAAGGTGTGCATGCTATGGGGGGAGAGCGGGCGAGGGAGACCCGGTGGGTGTCGGCGTGCTCGGCGTACGGAGGGTGTGCCCGGTTTGGCATCCCCTCGTGGCGTGCACAGCGTCCCGCCCCTTCCCCCCTTCTCCACCCCCCCCTGAAGGCCTTGGATAGCACCGGCCAGGGTTCTTAAAAGGCTTGTTTCCCTGAACAGAGCTCGGCATCACCCTATCTGCACTGTCTCTGGCCACAGGCCGCCATCTCTTGCTCATTGGTTTTCCCTCGCCCATGCTGTTCTCAGGGGGGTCCAAGTGTGGAAGGGGAAGGGGCCTGAAGCTTTTCTGCATGCCCGAAATCTGGGGTTCTTGTTATCAGTATGATGCCTCCGCTTCCTGACCCGCTAACTCGCTCTCGCCTCGTTCTGCCGCCCTCGCGTACTCAGACTTACGCACGCGCAGACTCACACTCATGCTCACCCAAAGTCAGACTCACCAATGCTCAGACCACTCACGTGCAGACCCACTCACAGTCAGACTGTTTCATGTTCAGACTCACTCCCACCTCGATCCATCCATACTCGGACCACTATACTCATAGACTCATTCCTGTTCATATTCGCTCATTCTCAGGCTTCGCCGTACTTGGCCTAGTCATCCTCAAACTCACTCGCATTCATACTCACCTGCCACCAGCCTCCTCATACACAGACTCAGTCATACTGATATTTATCATGCTCTGACCAACTGATACTCGTACTTCCATATGCGATGTAGCAGGCAGTGCAGCTGCAGATTGGGAGGCCCAGGGGGGACCCGCCGGGGGACATGACGGGCCCGTAACAGAATTCTAGACGCTTCGCGTATCCCCACCAGCCCGTCCAGAAATGAGCCCCAGGGGAGTGGAGGTGATGAGGGAAGCGGGGGAGCATGCAGAAGAACAAAGAGCGGGTTGAGCCGCCATACGCCCCAAGAGGGGGAGGATGTAGGAGGAGTCGTCGTCGTCGGAGTAGGAGGAGGAAGACGAGGAGCAGGAGGAGGAGCAGGAGGAGGAGGGGGAGGAGGAGGAGGAGGAGGAGGAGGAGGAAGATGAGGAGGAGGAGATGGAGGAGGGCGAGGACGAGGAGGACGAGAAGGAGGAGGAGGAGGAGGAGAAGGAGGAGGCGGAGGAGGGGGAGGGGGAGGAGGGAGGAGGGAGAAAAAGAGGAGGAGGAGGAGGACAATGGCGAGCTTGGGGGCCTCTTGGGCCGTCTTTGGGGCCTCTTGGCGGTCCCGGAGGCCTCTTGCGTATCTCGGGGAGCTTCTTGTGGCCTTTTGGGAGTCTCTTGGAGGCCTCTTGGAGGCCTCTTGGGGGCCTCTTGGGGCCTCTTGGGGCGCTCTTGGGGCGCTCTTGGGAGCTTTCGGGGCGCTCTTGGGGCCATCTTGGAGGAGATCTATCAAAGAAGGGGGGGTTGCTTATTAGCGTTGCCCCTCTAGAGTGCCTCGAATCGCCTCTTGGGCCTTCCTAGAGGCCAAATTCCGTCCAAAACCTAAGGAAAATCAATGTTTTTTGCTTTCTCGCCTTTTCGCTCTTGGAGCCGTCTTGGGCCATCTTGGGAGCATATTTAGGCCTCTTGGGGATCTCTTGGGAGCCTCTTGGGGGCATCTTGGGGGCCTCTTGGGGCCTCTTGGGGCCTTCTTGGGTTGCTCTTGGGGCGCTCTTGGGGCAATCTTGGAGCGCTCCTGGGCGCTCTTGGGGCCGTCTTGGAGCTCTCTTGGGCTTCTCTTGGTGCCTTCTTGGGCCATCTTGGAGCCATCTTCAGGCCTCGGATGGCCATCGGAAGCGAAAAAGCGAGAAAGCCAAAAACGTTGATTTGCAGAGTTTTGGATGGATTTTGGCATCTTGGGAGTCTCTTGGGATCATCCTGGAAGCCTCTGGGGCG